ACGATACATATCGCACACCCCTATACTGTTTAGATTTTTATAATGCATTGTCTTCTTATCGATCCGCCAGTTAACATTTAAAGCTCTGCGTGTTTGCAGGGTAAAAACATGGGTCGATTTTTGCATTGGTCTGAACTCTGAACAAAACATCAGTTTTATTGAAAATGCTCATTCATTCTCTGCCAGCAGGTGGAGTGTTTGGTAGAAATATCACTGTTTTCCCGGTAACTGCTGTACACAGAGCAGGGCAGCACCTGACTTTGAATGTGCAGTGCTCATGTTTATTTAATGAAATCATAACCTTTTTGAAGTTTAATCGTCACATTCAGCCATATCGCTATTCTGGTCTTTCCGTCCCCAAATTTAAGACCTCTTGAAATCATAATTAAGACTTTCTTGTACAATGTAAGACTTTTTAAGGCCTTAAATCTGATACAACTAAATTTAAGACTTTTTTTAAGACCCGCGGAAACCCTGATCTTTGTTTCATTTTGTCATTTTTGTTTGTCTGGACTTGTTTTGTTTTTTGTCTTGTCTTTTTTGTTTGTCTTTTCTTGCCTTGTTGTCTTTGTTTTTATGTTTTGCCATTGTTTACTTTTGTTTGTCTTGTTTTTTTGTCTTTGCTTTTATATCTTGTCATTGTTTTGTTTTGTCTTTGTTTTTTTGGTTTGTCTTGTTTTGTTTTTTTTGTCTTTATCTTGTCATGTCTCGGTTTTTTGTGTTGTGTTGTCTTATATCTTAACTTTTTTTGTTTTGTGTTTTCTTTTGTTTTTACAGTGATGGAAGGACTGTAGCTGTAAAACACATACAGAAGAAACACTTTACCCTCACTAAAACAATCAGAAAAGAGGTCAAAGAGGTCAGGTGAGTAGCTGTACCCACAATTCTTGCAAATGAAACTACACTGAAATCAGACGTACTTTTACTTGGACAAGTGACTTGTTCAGGATTTTGTGATGGGTAATTCAAGCCGAATATTTGGCGAAGAAATTAAGACTGTTACTGTTTCTTTTTTACCAGGGAGCTTGATCACCCAAACCTTTCCAAGTTCTTAGGAGGCTGCATTGAAGTTCCTTTCATAAGCATTATCACTGAATATTGTCCAAAGGGAAGCCTGGCAGACGTGCTGTTGAACGAGGATGTCCCCATCAATTGGGGTTTTCGGTAAATCTGTCTTGTGGCATTGTGAGAAAGCTCTTTAAATGCTTCAGGATGGTACTTCATAAATAAAATGAACACTTAACGTTTACAGATTGTCTTTTGCTACTGATATTGCTCGAGGAATGGCTTACCTGCATCAGCACAAAATGTTCCATGGCCGTCTTCATTCACGCAATTGTGTGATTGATGACCGGTGGGTCTGCAAAATATCAGGTACATCATTTTAGATGTTCTAGAGGCGCACTTCTTAGATATATTACAACTTGAGAAAAATCTGAAATCTGAAATAAGACATATAATATTTAATGATACAGATTACGGGCTGATGGCCTACAGAAAGGAGGACTTTGAGGACATGAGCACCAATTTCCAATGTCAAAGCGTCTATCGCATTTACTGCGCACCTGAAGTTCTGCTGAGAATCAGCACCAGTTTCACAGTCGCAGCTGATGTGTACAGGTTGGAGAAATGCTTGAACCTTATGTATTTTTAATATTTTTAAATATGAAACACTTTTGTTTTAGCAAATAAATACATATTTGAAATAGTCTAAAGTTAATTTTAAAATCTTTAATATTTCTCAATAAATGTGCTAAAATGTTAATAAGTTAATAAATTAAAATATTTAAAATTCACATATTCACTTCTCGGTTCAATTAATTAAAATAAACTAACTAACAAATAAATAAATACACTGCCTGCCAAAAGTTTGGAATACATTTTTTTTTTTTTTTTGAAGGATGCTCTTATGCTCACCAAGGCTGCATTTATTTAATCAAAAATACAGTAAAAACAGTAGTATTGTGAAATATTATTACAACTTAAAATAACTGATTTCTTTTTTAATATATTTTAAAATGTAATTTATTCCTGTGATATAAAGCTAAATTTTTAGCATAATTTCTCCAGTTTTCAGTGTCACATGACCCTTCAGAAATCATTCTAATAATAGAGTTAAAAAATCTTTACCATTATTACAAAAGTCTTAATTATTCCAAACATTTGGCCGGCAGTGTAAATAAATAGATTAATAAATAAATAAATACATAACTAAAGGAAAATTCTAAATAAATAAATCAAAATGTACAAATAAATAAATAAATGCCATTAAACTAGAAAATGATATTAAAGTTATTAAAGTCTAGAAAATGTCCGACGTGACAGGAATAACCCTGTTCTTTTCTTCGGATACATGTAAATGTTTTGTATATTTTATAGATGCATCCTAGAGCAGCGGTTTGTCCTCAAACAAAACTCAGTCTCTAAGAAGCATGAAATAAACATTTGTCTTTTCTTCCTGTTCTCAAGCTACTCTATTATCTTGGTGGAAATCGCTACTCGCAGTGACCTCATTTCAGTAAGTATTCAAGGATCAGGAAGGTGTTGGGGTTTTTAGACAGTTTTTTGCGGAAGAGGTGATGATAAGAAGTGCAATTGTTGTTTCATGAGCAGGAACAGGCAGATTCAGTGAAGCTTGATGTCATGTGGCGCCCATCACTTCCCAAACTGAATGCTGGGAAATCAGACAATGATTGCCCAGATCCTGATGATTACTGTGAGGTTTGTATGGACATAATTGATGCATGCTATTTACTTAAGCACATGTCCTCTTGTGGCACGTTTCGTTGAAGATCAATTACTTCAATGAATTGCCGTTGATGTGAATGTTTACCATGCCTGATTAAAAGATGATAACTGTGGATAAATGAAACGCACTCAGTGTTCGTAGTCAAATTTCACGCAGCTGATAAAGAGATGCTGGAACCACAATGTGACCATGAGGCCGACGTTTGAGCAGGTGAAAAAGATTCTCGATAAAATGAACCCGCACAAGGTCAGCCCTGTGGATATGATGATGAACCTGGTATGTTTCTCATCTAATCAAGTCTTTCTTTTACAGTTATTAAAATAATACAATTATTGAAAGCACAATAAGCATAAAGTGACTTGACACAGAATAATTTGAGTAATTATATGCACCAGGTACAGTGGGTACGGAAAGTATTCAGACCCCCTTAAATTTTTCACTCTTTGTTATATTGCAGCCATTTGCTAAAATCATTTAAGTTAAAATAAATTTGCAAAAATGTCAACAATTCTGTGTTTTTCTGTCAATATGGGGTGCTGTGTGTACATTAATAAGGAAAAAAAATTAACTTAAATGATTTTAGCAAATGGCTGCAATATAACAAAGAGTGAAAAATTTAAGGGGGTCTGAATACTTTCCGTACCCACTGTATTTATTTAATAGTATAATATTAGTATAAATTGTTACTAGACAGAGTGCAACTAGTGTGTGTGTGTGTATGTATATACACATCTTGTTCTTATATATGTACACATTGAATATTGTATTGTAAGTTATAGAATATTATAAAATAATTGAAAACGTACTAATTTTATGTGTGTGTGTGTGTGTGTATATAATTACAGTGGGAAAAGTATTATTCATAATCATTATTACATAAAAAAAACACCAATAAATAAAGATATTCAGTAAATGTTGTCCAAATGGTTCCACCTAGTGGACTTTAAAGTACATGTGCTGTGACTGTTTCCAGCTTGAGATTTTTAATG